GGCTGCGAGAAACTAGAAAGAGAAAACTAAAAAACTACCGGAGAAAGGAATAAGATCTTGACCTTTCCTAATTCTCCAAATCGGCAGTAATGGAAAGCAGAAGGTGCCAGGGGAGGAGGCAGGAGCTGAGGGCCGAGCGGGCGGTGCAGCGGGGCCGGCCGGGCCGGGGTCCCACACCCGCAGCCGGCAAGGGAAGGGCCACTCGCTTCCCTCCTCGGGATCCGCACCACTTAACACAGGCTTAGTTAAGCGAAAGCAGAGAAAGAAATTACACACACAGAGCCCTCCCGCTGTGGTCCCGACGGGGATATTCCGGGGCAGGATCGTTTTATCCCGCCCCGACAAACCCGAGAAGAATCTCCCGTTTTCCGCCTCTCCCGGGCTGCGCACACACGGAAATCCGCCGCGGAGTAACCACGCTGAAAGCATCGCGGTTTTGTTACGACCCCTTCATCTGGCATATAGAAAGCAGAGGAGTGGGGGCACATTAAAGAATTAAAAAAAATCATCTCCACAGATGTGTGACCAAAGCCAAAGCAAGGCAGGGGAACCTGCATCCCCCAGTTCCTGCTCGGAAACAGCCGCCGAGCGGAAAGGGAGAGGGAAAAAAATCCCAAACCTGCAAAAAAGGATCGGGCTCGCGGCAGGCTTTGCCCGGGGTTTAGCACTGACAAAACCAACCACCGAAAACAGTCCCGAGAACCGGGAGATTCGCCTACGGACGGGACGGAAGGGAAATGTCAGGTCGCCTTTTTGGCCAGGGACTCCCAAGCAGCGACTGCAACAGCTAATTATTTTCCTTTCAGTGCTCGGTTATTGCTGGTGTCCTCCCCGCCTCCCCTCCAATAAATAAATAAAACCCTCTTTTAGGCAGCGAGGCGTGAAAAATGATCCTCGCTGAACGCTTAAAAATAATGTCCCGTGAAGATCGGGGCCACGGAGCCAGCCAGCCCCGTAATTAGGGGCCATTATCCGTCCTGCCTCGCCGAGGCAAGATTTCTCCTGAACCCCCCGAGTCGAGCCCCGCCAGGGCATTCTGGACCCCGTGGAGACCCCCGGGTCTTTCCCCGCCGCCCCCCGCTCCGGCGGACGGGGGAGAGCCAGTTCCCAGGGGGTCTCCGCCGCCCCCCCGCCGCCTCCCCGGGCGACGCAGATACTTGTAGGCGGCGTGAGTCTGCTCTGGGCACGGAATAAGCTGGGGTGCTTCAGGGAAATTTAGGGAACGGGGAAAATTCTAATTTTAGAGACGCTTGGGGATCTTCCCCTCAAAATAAAACCTCGACGGTGCCGGCGCTCGCAGCCCCCGCGGGCCCCGGGGAGCCGAGCCCAACCCTTCCTGCGTGGGTACCGCGACTCCCGGTTAAGAGGGGAATATCCCCCCGCTCCCAAGTCAGTTCAGCTTCAATCCTGGCCGGCGACCGCGGCTTAAAAACCCACAATGACTCTGCAAGGCAAAAGGAGATGAACGGAGCCGGGGAAAGGTGTCCCAGTCCCAGATCCCCCTCCAGAGCCCCCTCCCCTGAGCGTGTGGGGGCAGGAGGCTCTCCAGGGAAACACCGCTTCCCTGCAGAGAGGACCCCCCTCCATCCCTCCAAACCCTGAGACCACCAACTTGGAGAACCCCTTGCACCAGCGCGACTGCGGGGGCCACACGCCTCCTTCATCCCTACGGGCACCGACTGCTATTTCTTATCCGCTCTTGCCACCCTTGGCTCCTTTTCCTCCTGCACTTCGCAAACAGACAAGCCAAAAATTATTAAAAATCGCTACTTTATACTACAATAACCAGCCCCCCTTCTTCCAGGCGCATAACCACCACCCAGCCTCGCTGCACATCGCTTTCTTCCCTCGGATCCCTTCTCCTCAAAGCAGGCTCGGTTATTAAAGGAGGCTGAACAAAGATAGCTCCGAGAGCAGCTATCAGCGCATTTTAACTTCATCAAAGACTTCGAGGGAGAGGGAGAGGAGGGGTCTGGCACCTTCTAGTAATGAGCTTGTCAGGAACACCCCTGCCAGAGCAATTGAACAATTTGCACACAAGCAAAAGAAAAGGAGAGGGGAGGGAGGGAGGAAGGGGAAATGCTACAAAAGCCCCTTCAATTTCCAACCATGTGCTTGGCAATCTGGAAAATAGATTCATTGGCCTCCTCTTTTCTCCCATGTCGAGTCTTGTAGCCCCTTTTGTAGGAGCTGGACATGAAAGGGAGACAACCAAGTGCCGGACACGAAGATCGCTTTTCAAAAGCAAATGTGTGTGAAGGCGAGATGTGAGACCGCTCGCTGCGGGGAGGCGGCACGTTCAGGAACAACATCAACAAACTGCGCGGAGGTTCGAGGTGGCACAGACAGAGGCAGAGGATAAAAAGGGGATGGGGGGCGGGAAGAGAAAAGAAAAGCCGATCCCCCCCTGCTCCCCCGGCGCACACTGCCCGGCTCCTGCCTGAGCCCCGGCGGGCCTCGCACAAAGCCCCGCTCGCCCGGGCACCGGCTCGTCCCCCGCGCCCTGCCTCGTACGTCTCCGCTTTTTTTTTTTTCCTTTTTCTCCTTCTCCTTCAGCTGGCTGCTCGGTCAGAAAGGCCTCGATTCTTTCGATCAGGGTCCCTGCCAACAAACAAACCAAAGAGCCACGTTTGGTCCCTGAAATAAAGAAACGGGGGGGGGGGGAAGAGAGAAAGGGGAGAAGTTTGGACGAGAAGGGAGCGCTTTAAGATGTTTATTTACTTTGTAAGTTGTTGCAAAATTTAGGCAGAGATCAACTTTCATTCAGTCATTCAAATGCTGCAGGCCCAAGGGGGACGTGTGTGCGGGGGGGAAACCCTCCAACTTATTTTCTCATGTGTCAACTTTTCCAAACAAAATAAAAGGAGGTGGAGGGGCGGCGGAGGGGAGGAGGGGGGGGGGAAGAATAAAGGACAACATTTCTCCTGGCCCCCACCTCCTTCCCCCTGGAAACACGCAGGGGTTTGTTTTTTGGTTTTAGGGTTTGTTTTCCTTTTTTTTTTTTTTTCTGAGAGACACCAAAATCAGATAAATTAAAAAAAAAATAAAATTATCAAAAAATAAAATACATATCCAGGGAACCTTTCCCTTGCCGGCCCGTGGCCCCACACCGTGGCCCGGGCGGTGTGGCAGCCCGATGCGGAGGGCAGGGAGGCGTCGCGGAGCAGCCCCGCGCAGGCTGCGCCGCGGCCGCGGAAGGGCCGCTCAGCCCCTGCCGAACGCCCGAGTGTCGCCGGCCCGAGGGTGGGAGCCACTCGCTTCCCCGAGGCCCGAGCGGGACTCTCTGCTCTCAGCGTGACAAAGGACATCGCAAAGAACGATTTGGATTATTATTACTTTTTTTTTTTTTTAACCAGGTCACAAACATTTATTAATTTACATCAACGGTGGACAAAATTCTGTTGCCTTTTCCACATCAAATTATTCACAGATTCTCTCAATAAAATAGATATGACGGATGCACAACCAGTGAAGAGTTAACTGGACTCCGCTCATTAGCTCCCGAATAATCTATATACAAATAATTACCAATACACCAAAAAACCCACGCACGGAGGGGGTGGGAAAACTGGGATAAAAAAAAAGAGTATGGGAATTTTCCAAACTTCCTGACGGATCGGATTTTTTTTTAAACGTGCATTTGACTGTCTCACTGGGGGGGAGAAAAAAAGAAAAAAAAAGCAAAAAAATAAACCGCAGTCCTGAGTTTCACCAACTTTTCTTCTTCTTAAAAATAAAGTAACCTTAAACAGTGCGTTTTAAAATCAAACCCGAAGCTTCAAAGAAACTAAAAATAAGATCGAACCATTAAAACATTTTCTTTGAGAGCAGGGGAGAGACAGACACACATGGCAAAACCACCCGGGAGAGAGACTTGCAAGAACAAAAACGGGCTCGCTGCGACCGGGAGCGTCCGCAACTCCCCTGGCCGCTTTCCCAGGTGATTTGGGGGACCCCTGCGGGAAATCCGCACCTCTCAAAGGAAACATTTTCCACTCTAAGACCGTTTCGTTCTTAACATGCCCCCCCTTCTCCCCTCGCAAGACGTTGAGTATTTAACCAGCCTAGGTCCCAGCTTATGTTACGGCCACTTTATAAATACGCTTTGGCGTTTGTGGGACCAAATCGTGTTATTCTTTCCCTCCTCCCGCCCTCCCGATTTATTGATTTTGGTTTTTTTTTTCCCCCGAGCAAAGAGAGACAAACAGATCTGGATGCCACTGAGCCTGGAAGTAAAGTAAAAATTTTAAAAAAAAAAAAAAAAAAAAAAAAGAAGAAATATTTCCTACCTTAAAACACAACAGAAG